GAATTTGTCGATGGCGTGCAAATGACGGCGACGGCGATGATGATGGTGGCCGTGATGGTCATGGTCGCCGTACCAGACTTTTTCGCAGAATGGCAGATTTTTCAGCACCTCTTTCTACAAATAAAGATTTTTTTATGAAAAAACTTGCAAATATAGTTTAACCAGTTTGTTTAATAGTTCGGGAAGCGCTGACCTTCTCGGTTTCTGGCAGTCGTTCGATAAACTCGCGAACTTTTTTCTTGCAACCAGCGTGATCGGTTTCATGCATTTTGTGGAGGGCGGCAATCTCTTCTTCTGTGGCAACGTCATCCATCCATTTATAGCATTCCTTAACATGAATACATCTTGAAAAGCTTCTAAGGTATATTTCATGTATGGGTGGAGCCGCGCCTACTGTTGCACTTCCCTCATTGGCGTGCCTCTCCTGTTAGCCTCTTGGAAAGGATGGTGCGCCAATGAGGGAGCATCTTGGTAGGCCCAGCTCCGCCCACGCGATAACCGTGAAAACGCCCATTATTCACCGTCGGCAACCCGGAGGGGAGAACTGAACATGTTTTCGAAAGAACTGGAGAGTAGGAGAATCAAAGGAATTTTCGAGAAGGGCTAAACTCATTCTAGCTGCCGTCCATGCACTGTTGGTTATCTAGGAAGTCCGCAATTCTCCGACTTTCCGGATCGATACATATCTATTAGAGCAACGTTCATACTCCGCGTCTTTAACGATTCGCAACTACGATCGCCGTGCTCCGTCGCTAATCGTTGGACCAACGCAACGGTCGAAGGTAGTTTTATGGTTGAATTAAAAGTTGCACTGGTCCAACAAATGCTTTGGAGCGCGGTCGGTTGTAGTAGACCGACTCACAAGTCTTGCGATTGAATAGCTCTAATCGCGAAGTATGAGCGCAGCCATATATTTCTTTTCGAGAGTTTCCCCGATTCTCCTGTTCGCCTGTTATCTGGGCTCGCGCATTGTGAGCAACAGGCTGCAGGTTGGCGTTGTTCGGTTTGGAGGGGCACTTGTGCACTTTCGCTAGTTCCTTTGGGGTAAGACCTATTAACCCTTACGAAGCTACCGCAACTAGTGGCCGTGTTACAAGCTGTGAGTTACACATGGTTGCCCCCACCAAGGCGAACTCAGTCAATCAGGTTGGCTTTTCATCAGGAGAAACCTACCTTTTGCATTTTCTCTCTGGCGGCCATGCCTGCTGGGCCTTCAAGTTCTTTCAAGAATTCGAAGATCTTCGCACGAATATCCGAATGAGGCTTTCCGTCGGCAAACATTTGTTTCACTTCCTGAAATCACTTCTTGTCTACTTGAGCCGGCTACTAGGTCGACTAAGGCAATTGTTTTTTTATTTACTCGCTTGTTTACATGCTTACTCATTTGTTTACTCGTTATATCTACACTACTTCAGTGAATTTGTTTATCGGAATATTTCGGGTACGAGCTGAAACAACGAGCTGAAAAATACAGAAGCCTGGCAAACCTGCTTCTGGTCCGCTGTCATCCATGATAGCCTTTTATTGATCTTCTCATCAATATCCCTTTTTGGCCTTTGACTTTTCAGCAAACACATCTGCGCACAGCTAAAAAAAATTATTTTAGGGATTTTTAGCCACTGTCTCAGTACTACATCAACGGTATCACGAGGTTTTCTCTCTTAGGACCGCGCTCGCTTTTCTAGCATTTTTCGGCGCTTTTCAGCTTAGGAGGGGCATCATGCATTTTCAATAGTTCTTCTTGCTAGTCACTGTTGAATTGCATGCCTCACTTCAGGGGAATCTCCAGACTCTTTCCGAGCGATGCTCACTCTACTGCATAACTTCACAGGACGAGGTTCAGGAGACATCAACAGTGATTGAAGTGTACCAGCAGAATGCCCCCACCAAGCCAAACTGCGCCCTTTTTTGTCGATTCCATGACCCTCCGCGTAGATGCCACTAATTTGAGCTTTCTTTGAGGTTCTCTGGTGATCTTGGTTCTCTAATCTGAAGAGAGCAACGAGTGGCGGGTGCGTACCTCATTTACGCTTGTCATCAGCGTAGTAATACTTTGACCACCCCCCCCCCAACTTCGCCAGGTGGTAGACACATTTATGAACACTGTAAATGTAAACGTAGGGCTTGTGAAGGGGCATGAATTGGGAAGCGGGCTGAACGGCCTTTCCTGCTGATTGTCACGGATCCAGGATGGCACCATTACTGTAAAAGTCCGACCTGGCAGAGCTCCAATCCACGACCCGTTGGAGGCTCCGTAGTTTGCAGGGATCATGACAGTAGGTTGTGCAAGCGAGTCGTTCCCAAGACGTTCGGTTTGGGGTGGGGAGTGTTTTAGAGTCTCAAACTATGTGTTTTCAACTTACCGCTTCCATTTTCACTGCCAATACCTTGTCGTCTCCAGTTTGGCGCCCAATCACCTCCTTGACAATTGTGCGCACCTCGTCAGTACTGCCACTTTCATGCAGAGCTTTCATTTTCTGCATCTCTTCTTCAGTGGCGATCTTTTTGAAAAATGCCTGAATCTCTGGAATTCACCTACTCACAGGCGCGGAAACAAATGTTTCGATACCTTGCACTTTCCCTTGAACTCCTCCTTGAGGGTTTTTTGTCGTTCTGCAGGGAGCGCTTCGAAAAACTCGATCGTCTTCTGACGAAGTTCATCATACGACTTGCCGGAATCCTTCATGTCGCTCACCTTAA